TTTAAATATCCACGCGGTAGCTTACTTAGCTGGCAACAATGCACAGATGTTGCTGTGCGAAAAGTTAAGTTCGAAAGTAAAGCTTTAGAATATTCGAGAATTCTCATAATCAAGTGGCCTATACCTTTCCGAGACCCAAGGTTTTTGGAAAATGCTCCAATTCCGAACATAATTCATTTATAATTCTGAGTATGAACTAAAAGTTTTCTCATCCATAATTAAACTATCCGAATGGGAAAGTATAAGACGCAGCTTGTAGAAACATTATCTACTGATAAATAATCATAAATACGAAGTATATATCATGTACTCTTTGCATCATTACGCACTGGTTAAAATGAATGAAAAAATAATAATAAAAAAATAAGTTATAAAAGTAACAAGAATTTAATTATTATTTTTTAAACTCAAGTAAATACTTAATTAAATTATTAAGTATCATAAGTAATAAATAAAAGAAATACTTTTTATTTTTTCTGTATATATAACTTTAAAGTTATTACTAATATAATAGTATTATTTAACAGTATTAAAAATATATAAATGAATATATAAATATGTAAATATAACAACATTAAAAGATATATCAATAAATATAATATATAAATATAACAGTATTAAAATGTATCATTGTGCTCATTTAATGATAAAAATTCACTTAATACCAGACAAGATTTATGATTTATATTTACAACTACTTATGTAGGAGAGTTTAATAAAACAATTGAATATAAGAATCGAGTGAAGTTAATGATAAACCTCCAATTCTTATTACAAGTAATGAAATAACTAATAATAACATTAGTATACAACTATAAAGTATTAAAAACTTTTTAAATACTTTTTTAACATTAAATCTAAAAACTCAAAAATATTTAAAATCTACAATATATTACTGTGAAAAATAAAGAGATAAAATTTAAATAATGTTCAATACTTCTTTAACATAATTCGTACAACAATGAAATTAAATTAGTAAGCATGGGTTATAATAGATTGAAAATTTTGTAAAATTTACTATAATTTAACTTAATAGCAAAATGCAATATATCAGTTTTCTTAGTATTTATTTATTTCGATTACAAAATATACTAATATAAAATATATATTTTGTTATGGACAATTAATAAACTTTATTGATAAAAATAAATAAATAAATAAATAAATAAATATATATATATGTATATATATATATATATATATATATATATATAATAAGTACTACCTATATAGGTATAAAGACACAAAATTTTGAGAAATAATACTTTTATTGTTAAAAATCATGATTCTTTCACTCTTATATTTCTATGAAAAATATTTAAAATTACTTACATATTATTGTTTTTTCTTTTATTATAATCTAATTGTTCAGTTATTCGTCTATCTTCATTATCTTATTATCTTTCAAATATATTAGTTTACAGTGCAGTATTACATGCCAGTCTCTATATAAATCCTTCGATTTCAAATGATCTTGATAATTAGAATCATTACAATGATCAATCCCAGAATTAATTTAATCATTCAGAGAATAACGATAATCCTTATTTCAATATTACTAATACTCCAACTGCACATAGAAAATTAAAAGTACAATTCAGCAGAGAAAAATTTTATTTAAATCGTCAAAAAATATATATATATTCATATATATAACATCAATATAAAGAAAAGAATATATATAATAAAATTATAAATCTGTTTACCTTGGTAATTCAGAAACTTTTAAAATTTTTAATATTTTTATTTACAATTATTAAACGTAATAATTAGATATTAAATTACTAAGTATTTGTTTGGAATTGGAGCATTTTTCCAAGACCTTCGGTTCTCGGAAATTTTATAAGGCTTCTAGTTCTCGAATTTGTAAACATTTGACACCTGGAATTCTCGAAGCTTCTATAGCTTATTCTCGAACGTCCTACAATGCTTATCTAGTCTCCGAAAAGCAACGTCGATTGAATTCTCGAATAGTCTGCCTAGTCTTCGCTTAGCAACACTTAAGCATTGTTTTTTTAGCTGCTGCGTGAATATTTAAGAAGCGCGTATTAAAAGACGTAGTCAGCTATTCCTCCAAGTCAGTTACTCGCCATAGTCAGTCAGCTACGCTTCAGCCACGCTATGAAGCCGAAGTCTACAGCCGAGAGCTCGTCACACGATCACGCTCTCTCAGTGCAGTCATTACAAAGAACACACGTTCAATTCTCCAGTGCGCAACGGTTAACAATCAGTCAAGGATAGTGACTGCAGTATAAGAAAATAGTCGACTACAAGAAACATGGTATCGGACCACTCCTTCACACGAAGGTATACCAGTAGTCTCTATTGAAGGTAACTATCAATCAATTAATTCCATACTCCCTTTAATGAGTATGGTCGGCACTCGCTGCTAATCTTTACGACTGTTCGAGAATGTAAGAATACTCTCAGCTCATTAGACATCTGGAAAACTCGAGATAAGTGTTCCGGAAAAAGCAAACCCTTGATTATCTAAAGAAAAACAATTCATAAACACATCCGGCGAGAATATGCGATCAAGTGTCTAACGAAACACGTCATAAAATTAATGCGACGAGAAATTCGACGCGACCACGCCATAAAGTATCCATCGATGACAAGCCATAATACTTCTGGCATAATCAAGTCGTACAAATATAAGCAGAAATCACGTCGTTTGACATCCGAAAAAGGGATATTAAAGGCAACACTGCACGCATACGCTGTTGTTAAACCCAGCTACATGTGGCTCGGATAGTGAAGCGAGAACGCGCCAAAGAAGTCCCCCTTATGGTGGGGATGCAAGTAAGAAGCGCTCTGATTGGAGCCACCAATAATGAAAGAATCAATTCGATTGGAGACGCTAAGAAAGATGCGCTCTGATTGGAAACGCCAAGAAGGAGGCAATTCGTAAAGACCACGTGGTGGCCGAGAATGCTTTTAAGAAAGATGCCGACAAGGCCTACCAGCGTTTCTTCTCACAAGAGTAGCCGGCAAGGCTTCTTCTCCAAAGGAATGCCAAATAACAAAGATGTAGACATACACAGTAAAGGCCAATTAAGAGGCAAAGCCTAGTCATATCCAACTCATAACACGTGCAAGATAAGTGCAAATCAAATCATACACTCGCAGCAGTGCAAGACAAGGAAAAGGGAACAAGAAAACAGTAATGCACAAAGCACAACATAATCATAACCTATAAGGAGCCGCTCGAGGCAAATTCAGCAAACAATACGAGGTATAGCCAGAAAAACAAAAAACATAAACTACAAGCTGCCGCACGAGGCACAACCTGCAGACATCACTAGCTGCCATCAAGAGCACAAAATCTGCAGAACTCACAAGGTAAAAGTTCCATTCCTTAATAACGATAATAATACACAATATGCCTCACAAGGTAAAGAACTGTAGAGCGACCAAGCTCACATAATCTGCAAACGCATAAGGGGCAAGTTTAGTTCCCACAAGATAGACTTACGAGGCGTCGTACGCGGCAATATCTGCAGACTAAAATGAACTGCCACCAAGAGCACACCTGCAGAGCCTACAAGGTAAGCAATAAGACAATAACAAGGCAAACTCAAGCTACTGCCATGTGCCACTACACAAGGAAGCGCAAGGGTTTACGGTCTTGTTCTTCTACGTGTATAACTCCACCATCACGTGCATTACATATAGAGGACCAGAAGGTTACGCCCTTCTACCTGTACATGCAACGCACATTACCGCTCTGTGGCAATAGCAATACAAAACTCAAGAAACGAAGGCATTCAAACATCAACTAAAAATCATTATAATACAACTAATGCAATTATCGCAATAAACTAAAACAAATACCAAAGCTATTTATTATTGAATACATGCACTATCCTGTCCACTTGCCCGCAATCCTCTCTTCCACCATCTGGGAGTTTACACCTAACTTTAAATATTTGGCCCTCTTCGCCCGGTATTCTATTTTTAGACAACGACATTAGCACAGATCACAAAACTCATATTCTCATTCAAGGAGCATGCACAATCCATTGCTAATCCCTATCATCTATGACATCGTCACCATCACCAGGAAGCAACTACATCGTTGTGATAGAACATTGTTTACACTTCCCATGAGAAGTAAATTCGGAATCAATAATAGTATAATTGTCAATAAAACCAAAATAAACGATATTTTAACGAAGTTTTCACACATTGTATACTTTTACAGCCCTCCACTTAAGTCCTTACCTAAGCATCGCTAAGGCAGGCGACAAATTAATTAAACTATGGAAGTTGGCAGTTCGAGTTAGAAAATCAAACACATTTTCGAACAGTATTAAACTATATATTAAATGAGATTGGAAAAAATTTGTTGTATATATTTCATATTTTAATTAATAAAATTATTTTATTTTATACGAATATTATTATAAATTGCAGAATAAAAACTGTTTAACAAATATTAAATTTTTTTATGATATTACATTTTTAAATGCTCAATTTTTTTTTATTATTAAAGTTTTAAAATGCTTAATTTTTTATAAATATTAAAATTTTAAAATGATCAATTTTTTAAATAATTATATTAATAATAAATTATAAATAATTAAATACTATTATTATTTCAGATATTGGCTATTATAGCAATTATACTTCTCTTCACGGTAAATGTTCACTGGAGAACTATAATAATTGAAATAGATCCAGGAATAGTAAAAATGGTATATATTATTAATCTGATAATGACCATTCTCATTTCAATATTGCTAATTATAGGAACCACCAAGGTAATTTTATTTGATTATTTTACATTATATATTTAGAATAAATTTTACAGTAATACGTATTGATATAATTTAGAAAAATACTATGCTAATGTTACCATGGATAATCCTTGGTATTTTACTTCTCGTTGGTCTACTTGTTAGTGTATTATATACAGCAATTACTTTGTTTTTAAATAACGAAGAGGTTTATCATATCTTATATGGAACCTTATTCTTAGTATTTGGTATTTTGATAGTGGGTGAGTAAAATTAATTCATCGCAACCAATAAAACTAATTAGAATATATACGATATAATTTTTGTTTCAGTAATTTACACATATTTTTGGTTTGTAGTATACAGTTATTTTCAACAATTAAAACTGGAAAAATCGAATTTCAAAATTGGTCCGTATGGTAGGCCGTATTCTTATGAGCGACCTTAAGCCCAATGCTAGTGAAGAAAGATAATTTATTCTTATTTAATTCTGTAATAGTTATATTATAAACTAAAACTTCTTTTATTTTATTTTTTCACTAATTAGTAACATTTCTTTGTAACTTTTGTATTTAAAAATCTCTTGTCTTTATTGTTTTGTTTTGTCAATATATTGCTGATAAGATTACTTATATTTTCTTTATTACAAAAAAATAATTGAATAAAATAAGAAATAATAAAATAAGATTTAAGCGCTAGAATATAATTATAATTGAAGTAAATTGAGTACTTAAATATAAATAAAAAATATATACAGATAATGCAATTGAAAAATGTTCAAATACATCAGGAATTTTTATAGAAATTAACTATATTTAAACTGTAATATTGGTTCCATTCTAGCAATCAACTTTCAATAAAAATTGCTTTTTATTTTCTTATTCTTTTATTCTTTTTCAATATCAGGTGCTAATCTTTTGTCTATATAATACTTAAGTTTAATTGACTCTTTCAATAGGTCGACTTATTTATATTTCGACAGCTACTTATATTTTCCTATGAATTAATTTAAATATTACATTTAATTTATAAAATTATAATCTATAAATTAATATTTTCTATGGAATTTTATAAATTATAGAGATTTCTGAACGTAAAAAATTTAAATTTTATGGAATTTTAAAATCAAATATAATAATTAAAAACTATAAGTCGAAGTTTACGTCAGACAATGTATACATTAGAAATAAATAAATAATTGTTCTTTATGCGATAAAAAATTAAAAACGAAAAGAATTATATACATCATTACATTATAAATGCCAATATTCTATAACAATATTCAATTTATAAAGTATGCAAGAATGGTTCAACTTAAACTATTTGTACTCTGTTTTTCTTGAAATAGTTTTTTCTATTTTTATTAAATTATTAGAAAATTTGCAATTGTATTTAATATTTAAGCGAAGTATATATTTAGCTATTTTTTTATTACGTGTTCTTGAAATCTTGGATGTTTACAGCAATATGAACACTGATTAATGAATCTTGTTCATGTACTTTATGTCGTTCCTAATGCATATCATTTCGATTAACTATTTTCATTTTTTTTCCCGTTAATATACTCTATTACTAATGAAAAATTTATAATTTGGATATTTCTACTTTGTCGTATTTCATTATTTTACTAGTTAGTTTCTACATGTATTTTCTTATCTTGATACAATGCAAAAATAAATATTTATTTAATTATTTCAATATAATACTGAATTGAAGATCCATTAGAAATAGTTTTACGAATCTTTAAAATTAAGTACTTATTTATACTTAATGTAATATGAAATTGATTTTCCTTTTTATATAAGAACTTCGCTAATATAAAAAGAAAAAATGATCTGATGACTATGTGTAAATATGACAGTAAGTAAATATAGAATATTAATTCAGAATTGTATTTAATTTTATTACTAAAATACAAATACTTTTATTAAATTATTATCCCTTAAATGCATTTGTGAAAAATGTTTTCCAGTTTTATGACTAAACTAATAATCAAAAATTACTGACTAAATCGTAGTTAGAATCGTATTTAGAAAATCATAATATTAAGTAATAATTATTAAATTCTATTAGCAATTGTTATTAAGTAGTAAATATTAAATAATATTAAATTATATATTATATAATTTAATAATAATAATATTAAAAATACATTATTAATAAATAAATATAATAAATATATTAATAACTCATAACAAAAATAATATACCATTTAATATTTGGATGCATTCGTATTTTATTTCTAGTTCTTTATATGCCAAACAAATATAAATATGAATTATATATGTGAAATTCTATATGCATATTTTTAATTTAAACTAGACTACAATCTACGTATTTAAAAATAGTATTTATATTTATAGTATATATCACAATTTAAAATGTATATAGAAAATTGAACGAAAACTATAAAAAAAACTTCATTCTACAGTTTTATGAAAAAATTAATTATTTTTTAAGTAATCATAAATTTAATTTTATAAGTTGTCAACTATTATTATTATTATTGTGTATCTGCTGAATTCGACTAGCTACTTATGTTTTTATATTATATACGAACTTAAATAAAATATATAACTATATACAATTACGCCAAATGCAAAATTGAATTTAAGATTTTGTTAAGCGTTAATAATTGACATTTTCGACTCTAAATATTTCGAAATTATTATCCATTTAATGTCGGTGAATTTTATTATATTTATTTAACAATGAAAAATTTTCTATAAAATTCAAGACTTTATTCTATAAACAATTTTTACTTTTTCACTTAAGGTACATTTTATAATTTATATTTTTTATTCATTCAAAATAAGGTAAGATATGTTAAAATTTTATTAACTATTAATATACTATCGAATTACCATTGTATGTTGAATAAAAAGAAACTGTTTCTAATGTTTATTTAATTTTTTAAACAGTATGTTAAAAAAGTACAAAGTATGTAAAAAAAATTTTAAGATAACATGCTTTAATTAATTGTTTTGGAAGAAATATAGCTTATACAAAAATTAATGGAAAAATACTAAAAATTTTTATTTTTTATAACAAATCATTTTATACTTCTCATAAGTCAAATTGAGTAAACATTTCAACATCTTTACGTATTATTAATGCTCAGCCAGCTATTCCAAGCCAATTGCATGGTTAATACAACCAAAATCTGTAAAATTTGCAGCTTGAATGCGTCTTCTTCTCCAATATAAATTTTTATTATATGTAAACCAGAATTATAATAAAAATTGTATTAACATGAACTTATAAAACGAATATATATAAACTCTAATGAAAACATTATTTTTCATAAATTGAATAATAATTTGCCCACAAATAAATATAAAAATTTAAAAATAGAAATCAGATTTTTAAAATTATGTATTACGTATAATATAACATTCAAAAAAATTAATTTGAAATGTTTATAATTCCTTGTTTTCTTAATATCTACATTAATTATTATGACTAATAAATATTTTAAACTCATTGATACTGTATTTTTCAAAAATATATTTATAACATCTTAATACCGAATTTCAATGTAACATCCACTTGGGTGTTGCCAGTCTAATATTAATTATATATAATGATCATCAAAAAAATCAAGGTAGCCTTCCATACCACATAAAAACACTGTAATAAAATTAATTAATAATATAATCAATAACCTTATTTTAAAAATTATAAGATATATACATTAAAAATTCTATTTATAATTATATTATATTAAAATATTAATACATTACACTTATATACATATATGTAAAAATATATTATGAAATATAAATTATATAATACTTTTAAAAATAATTTAAAATATTTAAATTTTGTAACGTATCAACATTCTTTTTCTAATTACATATACATATGTATATATAATTAGAAAAAGAATAAATTATAAATCAAACTAACGATTAAATTTTTAAAGCTTTTTATTAATCTTGTTCTAATGCTAAGTCCTTACTGGTAAATGGAAATCCCATTGTTTCAAGATTCTTTAAATCTTGTAAAATTAATGAACAATATTTAAAATGAGATTAGAATAAAATGGTGTAATACTGGTTTGACATTGAAACTAAAAAAGAGAAGTAAAAACTTTTTATCATATAATACATTGATATATATTGTAATATGTAACACAACATTTTATGTGGTCAACTGCTACTATTACAATATTGATTTAAAACTATAATTCAATTATATAAATTTCCCACTCAATTTATTTTTCATTATCCAATATTCAAAGAGATCTCTATCTATCAAAGAAATTAATGAAAAATGATAATAAACTATTTTAATAACTTTGTTTTTTTTCTAAGAAAATAAATATCTACACTGTTTGAAATATATTCTATTTAAATTTTAATCAATATACTGTTTATTTACATTTGTAAGAATTTTTTAGAATTTTAAGTTTTTCTCTTCTGTATTTACTTACAGAGTTTGATATTTATTTTAATTTAATTTTATTTATTATATTATTTAAATCCAATAGAATGCTGAAAGAAGTGAAATCGATAATAAAGATTCAATAATATAATTTAGAAGGCAGTAGCAATTGAGCATATGTGAGATTTTTAGTATGCAGTAAATAATGTAGAAATGTTAGTTTCTAATTGATTTATATACCATAATAATAAATTTAATTGCTTGTTTATTAATTAAAAACTCTAAGTCTACTAAATCTTTATCTATCTCCTTCACTACTGAACACTCAATATTTGAAAAAATAAAATAAAAACACTATTTTACAAATTTTATAGGGTGATGCATACAATGTAAAAGGAAACATTGAAAGATAGTAAAATCGGATTAGGAAGTCACCAATATCTACTTATGTAACTGTTTAAATATGTTAATCAAATAAATGAATGCCAGCACACGAGTTATATTACAAATTATGGTGGAAGTGATAAATAGAAACCTTTTCATTACTTCAATTCCTTATAGATACTTAAATACAATATTCTTTTGAAACAATTATATCTAGATTTGTCTCTGTTTCAATAATTTGAGAAGCACATTTTATTTGTCTCAACTGACTATTTCATTATTAGTGAAACATGTACAATTATTGTATTATTGTATACAATTATTGTAATCCTGCTTCTAGTTGAGACAATCTATATATTTCAGTCAAATATAAATATAAATATAAATTATTGCTGAATAAAGTAAAGCATGCATATAAAATGTACTCAAATGGATGTATATTCGCTAATAGATTACAGTATGACAACTTTAACTTTAACAAGACTTCAAGAAAATTTCTTATTCTATTACGATGATTGGTAAATATCACAAGAGTCACATATTAACCAAGTTTTATTTTGGCTATTTCTGTGAATTTTGATACATATACCTGAAAATGTAGTCAATAGTATTGATTAATAAATATATAAATAGATAACACAACTTATTATTATCTATTAAAATTATATTTATTGAAATCTTTTATATATGGTGAAATTATTATATTTAATATTGTATTAAATCATTAGATAAAATGAAATTTTTTAGAACATACATTTTCATAAAAATTTGAAGTAAAAATTGTTATCTTTAAATTTTTAAATTCTGTTCGAAACAAAAAAATTTTTTTC